TAGATATATATATATATATATATATATATATATATACTACATAAAGAATAATATAAGTAAGTCACTATAATTGATAATTTAAAATGTTTAAAAAATTTATATGATATTTACGATTAAAAAGAAATTTACTTGAATTTTAAAATTCTAAAATATCACGTAAATAAAACCAAGAAAGTAAAAAGAACTTTTCCTTTTTAAAATATGATATTAAATTAAATAATATCACGTAAAATAATGTTCTCTAAATTCGAGAATATGACGGAAGTCCAAAAATTCCAAACAGCGCCGAGTCCCCTCACCAATTTGGATTTCACCTTTATGACGTACGAGAACCTAAAATCTTAATTTTAAAATAACATAAAATATCATATAAATTGAGAAAAGAAAAAAATACTCAATTAATATTTACTCTCTTCGTTTGATATTATTTGTCATATTATATTTTTCGAAAGTTAATTTGATTAATTTTTAAAATTAAATTATATCATATTAATTTGGTATTTTAAACAAAAAATTAGATATTCTAAAACTAAATGAAAAGTATAAAAAATTACAATTTTTCGCATATTAATTTGATGAAAAAATACATCTTAAAATGTCAGTCAAAGTTTTTATAGTTTGACTCTAAAAGTAGAAACTATGACAACAATACCGGACAGAAGGAGTATTTTTTCAGTTAGCTTTAAAAAAGATTGACAAATTTTTAGTATGCATTTTGTCTCAAATTATGTGAAATATTTCATTTTTCGAAAGTCAAAGTATTTAAGTCTAATCAGAAATTTGCCCATGATATTTTTAATTTTTTTGAAATTTAATTTATATATATGTAAACTACGTAAAAATTAGTATAAGTTACAATAATTAACAATCCAAAATATTTAAAATATATATAAAAAATTTTGATAAAAAAAATTAGATTAATCTGAATCTCAAAATCTGAAATGTGTCACATAAATTTAAGCGAAAAAAATACAATATAACTCTCAAATTTTTATCTAATTTTATCAAATAAAATAATTTCTGATTACATAAATATTTATTACTTATTTTAGATCATAAATTTTCAAAATTTTAAAATTTAAAATGTGATATGATGAATACATCAAAAATTAAAAGTATCAAATATCATAATACAAATATAAATATAATTCTAATAACTCCATAATCAAGCGGTTCTATACCATATAACTTTAAATTAATTAAACTCAAATATAAAATAAAATATCATAAAAGATTAAAATAAAATATTTATCAATGTATCTTCAGATATCCCATGCATACCTATTTCCCAAGGCAAGGTAGCTCCAGAAACTACGTCATGACGCAAAATCAAGTCTGCGTAATATCGGGAATGCATATATAGATGTACAATTAAAATTTTAAATAAAAAAATTTAAAATTTTAAAAAATAAACACATTAAATAATTAAAGAAGTTCAACATAAAATATTTTAATCATATACTAATAATTTAATTTTTTATTTAAAAGAATTCGAATAAACTCCAAATCATAATGTAACTCCGTCGCACGGAGAAAATGTCAGCCGAATTATATTTATACTGCTTTCATTAGGAGGGAAACACTTTCGTATTAAGAATTATTTTATATTCAAAGTCTAATTTTTTATTTTATTATCAAAGCTGCACATTCTTTAATGGTTTAAACCGTATTTTTAATGGTATTTACTCAATTTATAATTGTGGTACCAAATAAAATTATTTGACTGGATATAAGCATTACATAATTCCTATAGGTTATTTGACAATGATATTGTGATATGAACTTAGGAAGTAGAAATAACATCTATTAGTCTATTTTCTATTGCTTTCTTTTAAAAAGAATAGTCATTATCGTAAAATTTCAGATTTATTACGGAGTTTAAATTTAAAACTCAATAAAAAAAATTATTATTCAATTGGAAAGGCTAAATATAGACACATTCTTTTTTACTTCATAAACAAAATCTTTTAAATATGGAAAATACATAATTAGACACCATTCATTATCATAAATATTATTATTACCTATATTTTCAAAATATTATGTTTATTATTACCAATTAAGATTTTTTTTTTATGTATTTTCACTTAGAGATATATACATGTGAATTACCAAATATGGGAGAGTAGCGACCGAGATTTGTTGTGTATCTCAGATACATGCGAATCCATTTGGATACAATAATATTCAGAACAAATTTCATCTAGATTTAATTCCAAATATCCGAAGTACATATATCTAGAGCCTGAAGACAATAAAATCTAATAAGATACTTAATACGAACTACAAACTAACTAGAATATATTTAATACTTAATTAGTTTTCAATCTGGAGATATTTATATTAGTTTTTTAAAAATATTTATCTAATTATAATAATATTTCGTGGAGAAATATCAGGAAATAAATTATTACTTAATTGATTAGTAAAGATCTATGATACTAAAATAGAGTGTCTCATTTACTCCAAAAGGTCCATTTTCAAAACAGCCAAAAAAAAAAGCAGCTGCCTATAAATAGCCAAAAAGCTTGCTGTCTAAGTAGAAAATGAAATGCAAAAAAATCCTCAAATTTTGTCCATTTTTATTTTTTATTTTCCTCATGGCCATTTCGAAAAATTCATCATCAAAATCATCAATATCAATATCATCATTATCGTCTTCAGAACAAGATGACAATGCGTTTGTTCAACTTGTTTCGAAATCAACATCCGATAGACTTTTGGGAAAATATTTTGATGCTACGGAGTTTGATTTCGATTATGAACAGAGTAGTATATGGTCTCCATTAGTTGTTCCTAAAATAATTTACTTGAAATCTCCATCCAAGTTATTGTGCTCTGAAAAGGGCAAATCACATTGGCTAAAAGATTGTATCAATTCTTGCTTAAGATTATGGTAATTATTTTTTCATTTCATATCCAAATTTAAAATTCTTCTTTCTATTTTTATGAGCAGTGACAGAGTCAGAATTTTTATTAAGAGGATTACAGGTTTTTTTTTGTTAGTTTAGATTTAAGGATTTCTTCTTAATTCTCTTCTAGTGTTGTTTTATGAAATGTATAGATTAAATGTTGATTAGAGTGTTTTTATTATGCTATTAAAATTAATGACTTTGTATCAATTTGGGGAAAGCAAATTATTTTATGGAGATTCAATTGTGCTTTGTATGTTGTAGCATCTTTAATAGGGGAAAATGAACATCGTGTTGAAGTGGTTGGGATCCTTATTCTTTTCTCCTTGAACCAGAAATTCTAAAAATGAAAAAGATCTCGTTGATAGTATCGTCTTCTAAAATAGATTTACGAATGCATAAGTTTAAATTTAATCGAATTTTAATATGAATACTAATTATTGGATGTTTGAAAATACTAGCTCTTTTTTTTTGGAAGTTTCAAATCTTAATCGAGACAAAAAGTATTGAGAACTAGTTTCTCATCACTTTTTTATGGTATTATTATTCGATATCAATATATTAATGAATGAAATATATCTGAAACAAGCGTTAACGTTACTGTACTATATATATAAGTTGGGGACCAATGAGCTAGCAAAATATTTTAGAATATAAGTTCTTTCTGTTTTAATTTCTTAGTTATGGACAGATTTGACACGAAATTTAAAATAATAAAATATTTTTGACATTTTAATTCTTAAATATCCTTATCTTATTATTATTTTTTTATACTTCGATTATCCATTTTGTATTCGTAGACATGTCGATTGTCACCATCACGTATATCTAGAGTATAGTAAAAAGTTAAAAACATATTTTGAATTGTAACAGTGACCATTCATCAAACATACTCTGAATTACATTACAAAAAAAAAAGAATTTTCAGTGTCTGGAATTTCAGTTAAAGTCACAGATTTACTTTTCTTACATTCAAATTTTCTGCCTAGTTGTGCTAATTCAAATTCCATTTTTGCAGAATAATTTGCAATTAAATTTTATTTTATCTTTAAAAGGGCGCGAAAATATGTTAATATAACATGTTTATAATTAATGTACATAGATGTTCTGAGTCACACCTGCGCTACATTGATATATTCAACGAGTTTATTTTACTCAAAAAATTTCACATCATTTTGTGATGAATAATATAATACATTCATAAAAATGTGTACTAATTCTACTAATAAATAATCGATCTGTCTTCTTTGTGGATAAAATTAATTTGCTATGCGTGTATAGTAAGGCATATATATAGTAATTATATCTATAAATATGAAGTACGTATTGTAGAGTCCGGAGCCTAAAGAATATAAAATATTAATAAAAATTTTAAAACGGTATATAAAATTTTATATTAACCAAAACGGTAAAATCGCTGAAACAACAATGATTTTCTCCGCCTGAAAAAGCAAAATAGCAACGATTTTACAAAATGTGATTTTTTTTAAAAAAAAAATATTCAAGAAAATCACTGTCTAGGCAGCGATTTTCTTAATTTTTTTAAAAAATGAAAATCGCTGCCTCTTGATTTATTTATTTTTTTAAAAAATCACATTTTGCAAAATCGCTACAGTAGCAACGATTTTGCTTTTTCCGGCAGAAATGATTTTGCCATTTTGATTAATATAAAGTTTTATATATCATTTTGAAATTTTTGTTAATATTTTATATTCTTAGAGGACTCACATATTATACCGGTGGTGAAGAACATAATAATCCCTACACTTGTCCGTATATTTATTTCATTTGGATATTTGAACTATTCTCTTTTTCAATTGATAAAGTATTGATATATGGACTCGATAAAGTATTGATATATGGACTCTTCCGATCAATTTTTTGAAAAGATTTGTGTGTATTATGAAGCGTCCGTAATTACATGAATGAAATAAATTTTTTAAAATATGTCATTTGCTTAAGTTATACACATAATCTCAATAACTTGTTAAAGCGTTTCATTGTTTGAATTGAGGTCGATGTATAATTTAAGAAAGTGATGTTTTAACTTATTCATGTTGTGGGTGCTGAAGAAGTATAAGCTTTGGCAAAATTTGAGCCGGAAATATCAAATAGAAACACTTATAACATGTTCAAACATTCAATTGAAACAAGGTGTAATTCGAAAATCTATTTATAATAAAACAGAGTTATGAAGGTATTTAATAAAATGGGAGTTAAATGTTATTTTTTTCTACTAGAAGAAATTGAGAGACAAACACATAGTGCGTTTGTTGTGAAGATCGAATTTATAACTCCACATCTTGTGAGAAACCTCTTAGGCAATTAGTGATAGTAACATAAGTCGATTCTTTTAGAGAATGTTTGTCTAACTCCACATTAATATATAGAACCTTAAGTTGTAAATATTTCCTTATGTTTTTTTCCGAGTTCCTTGTACCCTAGTCTATATCCATAATTGACATGACTCTGCAATTGACGCGTTTTTCTTTTTTGTATAGTATAACTAAGTGACTCCATAATTTCAATCTACTTTTTTTCCTAGAGCAAAGACTTAATTTGTTCGACTTTCGTCCCTTTGCCTATAAGTAGAAGGTAGCTTGATTTCGATATTATTGCTTATGACTTGATATATAGTTGTGTATTATTTGATTTTACCACTAGAATACCTATTTGATAGTGGTAAGCCTTTCAAATGTCTTCTTCATTACATTTTTGAAAAACCCTTTAATCAGTTAGATGTTCATCTTCGAAAACATAGCTATTTATGTCATTCTCAAAAAGTCAAAAAAAGACCAATAAATTTTATATATAACTATAATAGAAATGCTAGATAGTCAGAAATTTTTAGAAATTATAATTATTCTAAAATAAATCGATTTATTTCTCCATTTTTTAGTAAAAAAAATTAAAAATAAAAGGATAAAAATATTTTTAAAAAAGTAAAATTACTTAGAGAAAATCTCATTCTGATCAAAAAGATTTTTCCTATTTATTATTACTTATTAGTATTAGATGGAATAGTCACTATTGCATAAGGAGGTAAAATCAGGAAAATAAATATGACCGTAGGCACATAATTCTAAAGATCAAATCTCCAAAAAATACTAAAATTTACGCAAAACAAAAACTAAAACTAAAATTTTATAATTTCGCATTTAAAGAATTTTCGTTCCTCAATTGTATCAAGAATATATCGTAAAATTTTGATGTTTTAAATTCTGAATCTATCTTTAAACGTACATGCACTAAAACATGTACATTAATGTTCGTTAAGGAGACATCATATCATCTGCAGTGACTTAATTTTGGTGTGCACGCAAACTACTCAATCTCTACTTTGATTTTTTTTTTTCCAAAGAAGGAGAAAAATATGAACAGTATAACATGAATTTCAATTCCTTCTATGAAATGAGAATAAAAAGCTAAAAGTTTATGCTCTTTCTCCAACTTTGACACTAGTGAATAACTCACTCTGAGATGCGGATCTAGAATTTAAAAATAAAATAAAAATATCAAATATCAAATTAATCCCTCCTATTATTCTAGATAAATAACTCCGCATTCAACTTATTAAATTTTATATCATTCCATCAATTTCGCAGCACATAGCTACCAACAAATAACATTATAACAATTCTAAAAACATACATATAAACATCTAAGTTTACGAATAAATTATAAATTCACGTGCATAGTATTTCACTCGATAAATACACTACTACGGACCGGTCAACATGCTTATCAACAACAGAAGAGAAGACCACGAAATTAAAGGATTATTTCATTTATAATATGTATATATATTTAGTTTAAGATTATTATATTTTAAAGAATAAATTATTTTTTAAAATTATATGCCAAATAAAATTAAGACAAACAAAATAAAATAGATAGAGTATTATTGACTTTTGATTTGAAAGTTTTTGAGAAATAATTTAGAAGCTATTTTAGTGAGTGCATGAATATTTATTTTTAATCATTATATTGTTACTTGTAAAAATATAATTGCTTAGATTAATATGTCAACGGTCTCTTAAGTGTTTTTTTTAATACTACTCCAATACGTAACTGATCCATTTTGGTTAGTGTTTGAGTGTTAATTAATTAATTAATTAAGTCATATACGTAACTATCCATTTTTCTTAGTGCATGGAAAATTGTTCATTTGCTTGCAAAGGTCAGCAATAAAAAAGAATATGTCAACCATGCATGCAACTCCTCTTTTCCGTGTTTAAGCATAGATTTGATACGAAGAAAAATATCTTTTTAATATTCAGTTGATCAAAACGATTTGAGTTTTTCTTAGAAGTGTTTTAAAGGTTATGAGGAATATTATTTTTCTAGTAAATATTTTGAATCATATTGACTCTATTAGGGGCTATGAGCTAGAAGTGAACATCTTAATATAATTGTCTCGTCCCAAATTTTGGGCCGTGATTTTCCTATAGCAACAAAGGGCGGAGCTACGTGGTTATCGGGGTGTTCGTTCTTCGTTTAAAAAATAATATTTATATATACACGTAAAATGATATTCTCTCCGTCCATAATTGTTTGTCATGTTAAGGTTATGTATACTCCTCAACGAAAATTTAATATAATAATCATATCAAGAATATCAAAAGTCTACCTAACTTTTCAATTGAACAACATAATCATTAAGGGTAAATTTGAAAAAAAGTGACTAATTATTTAAATTGAGGATTAATTTTAGATATCTATTTTTAGTATACCTGCCAAATAATTGTGGACAAAGAAAGTATACAAATTGAGTAACATGCTATTGACACAGTTTCTCCACTTTCGAAAAAGAGCTTTCATTATATTTTAAATATAATTCAAAATTAACACTTATTAAAATTTTTAATACACTCATTCGTCCAAAAAAAAATGTACTTATGCAATCTCTAGACATTCTGCCACTCCCTATAAGATTATAATATTCAACTTATATATTATATACAAATACTTATAGATAATATTTTTATTTAATTATCAAATATAAAAAATATTATTTTCCAACTGTTTTAATTGGTGTAACGCAATAAGTCGATCGCTGTCAATTTTGTTACAACATGTATCATGAACTTGAAGGTTTCAACCGCATTTTGTGGATGGAAAATAAAGTTAAATGTTGACCATATTACTAAAAAAATTAAGATTTCAAAAATACAAGTTCACTGTATATATAATTTATACACGTGCCTTTATGAATGTTGTGCATTTTCTTGGACCCAGCCTCCTCGTTTATCTCTAAAACTTATTTTTAATTTTTAGAAGTTCAATGTTTGTATCAAAATTTAATTAATTAATTAAATATACGTAATTAAAATTCATTTAACAAAAAGGGTAACTTTTGTTATAGTTACGATTTAAATATTTCATCATTTATAAGGTTTTTGCACAAATCATAGTTCTTATTTGAGAGTGATAATTTATTTTTTATTCTCAAAATATAATGATTTTTAGTTTATTTGTATTGTTCAAAGGTTTAGATAATTTTTACCCCGCCTTAGATAATTTTGTAGGAATTTTTCATATTCCATTGTAGTATTTAAGAACAAAGTGAACATATATTCATCATAATCCAAACCATAAACAATGTGTATGGCTAGATGAAGTTACGTTAGATGTATCAATATATGTTTTATTTTTCGAAGAATTAAACATTAAATATGTCATGTGTAAATTTAATATGTAAGTCAGAAGGTATTTCTTAAATTTTGTGCCAAATCATTTAAGTGAATTGAGCATAAAACATTACAATCCATACAATTACTTATGAAAACAACTGATAATTAAAAATGAAACGATATCGAAGACATCCAATTAAAGTGAACATATATCATCATAATCCACACGACCATAAATATTTGACGTAGAGCAAGAGGGCCAATATAATGGGAACAAGGCGGCTTATTAGTACTCTCTAGTTTAGTTCATCTGTACCAACCCAATTTCTAAGACACTTCCTAGGACAAATACACAAAGCAATTAATATTTCAATTATTATATTAATTAATGAACTATAGTCTAGATTTCTTAAACGTTGGTCTTTTGTTGTCTATAAATATCACGTTTTTTCTTAATAAACTCACTTTTCTTTCATTTCTTTCTTTGATCTCATTTTGCTCCTCCCAATATCTAGACATCACTCTCAATTTTAACAATTAGTAATGGCTCGTTTTGCAATATTTTTGATTGTTATGTTAGTTTGTGTTGCACCATCTTTTGAAGCAAGAAAACAATTTAGCAAAGAAGGTAACAAACTATATGTTGATCGCAATTTGGATTCATTCCCTAGTCGTGGAATTGGTAATTTTGATCATAGCATGCAATCAGTTCCGAGTCCTGGAACTGGAAATCTTGATCACAATTTGAAATCAGTCTCGAGTCCTGGAACTGGAAATTTTGATCACAACGTGCAATCAGTCCCGAGTTCTGGAATTGGAAATTTGAAATCAGTCCCGAGTCCTGGAACTGGAAATTTTTATCACAACATGCAATCAGTCCCGAATCCTGGAACTGAAAATTTGAAATCAGTCCCGAGTCCTGGAACTGGAAATTTTAATCACAACATGCAATCAGTCCCGAGTCCTGGAATTGGAAATTTGAAATCAGTCCCGAGTCCTGGAACTGGAAATTTCTATCACAACATGCAATCAATCCCGAGTCCTGGAACTGGAAATTTGAAATTAGTCCCGAGTCCTGAAACTGGAAATTTTAATCACAACATGCAATCAGTCTCGAGTCCTGGAACTGGAAATTTGAAATCAGTCCCGAGTCCTGGAACTGGAAATTTTTATCACAACATGCAATCAGTCCCGAGTCCTGGAACTGGAAATTTGAAATCAGTCCCGAGTCCTGGAACTGGAAATTTGAAATCAGTTCCGAGCCCTGAAACTGGAAATTTCGATCGCCCTAGTCTTGGAATCAGCCATGTTCATCGCAATTTGAAATCAGTATCGAGTATTAGAATTGTTAAGTCTGAAAGTCATTCAAGCCCTAGTCCTGGAGAAGGCCATGTTTATCGCAACTTGAAGTCAGCAAATCCTACAGTTGTCCATATTGATAGTTTAAGGTCAGTCCCTAAGTTTGATATCGATCACTGATCGTTCAACTTTGAAATGGGCAACTTCTATTTAGTAGTTGTATATGCAATATATTAAGTACAATATAATGTAAAAAAAGTGCTATATTATGTGACAGTTTGTTTATGAACATATATGCTTATCAATTAATTAATGCGATATTTTAATCAACTAGAAATTCTAATTATTATTGTGTATGGACTAAATATTTCAAAAGTCTCAACTAAACGTTGTACGTGGTATTGCTTTAGCCATTTATTTTTATTTGTTGTAATTTTCTTTTTTAAAAATAAAAAAAAATTGAACTAATTTTTTTATATCTAGGTTTTCATCATATCGATTTAATGTTATCAAAGTAGCGCGACATAACAATTATATGTGGGCGGATTGAGTAGTATAAATTTAACATGTCAATCATTGATTTGACTTCGTTATTTATCGGTCAAGTAAAACTGAAGTTAATATCTCATCAATTTTAAGAATTTGTTTAGAAAAATCATTAAATTTTTATAAATTTCTATAAATAAAAATCAATAACCTAAATTTATCATTAGAATAAACTATCAAAATAAATCATTTTTGTTATACCATGTAAACAAAACTCCATAAATAAATAAATTTTTTTAAAAAACTCATTAAGAAATTTTACAGAGAAACTTAATTAGTGAAATGAAGACTGTTATGTCATTATAATATATCATATGGAATTTTCTGCTCTACAATTTTCGTTTCTAGCGAAAAAAGTTAAAAGTATTGTATTCCAAAAAAATTAAGGGTTTCACAATTTCATAGAAAAGCACTAAAAACCCCCCAAAAAAAAGTTAAAACACTTTTGTTTTTTGCATTTTGATATGGGGGCGCGTTGTTCCAGCCGAGCTCAGAAACTTCGAAGAACTTTCTAGCTGAATTTTCAGCCTTATCTTTTCTAGAATCAAATGATTTCCCTCGAATTCTTCAAGATTCATAATCCGAAAATCACATAAAAATCTATCAAGAACAACACTCATTCGCAAAATCTGTACCTCAAGAACTCAACAAGACTACATTGTTAAAGAATGAAGAAAACCTCATGAACTTCTCAAGAATTCAATAATTCTACTTCAAGAACGAATTCATGGTAAAAGTTTACATGACTGTCGTGAGGGTCAACAAATTTAACACTATGAAAGCTAACATACCTCGAAAGAAACTAAGTTCTTGACGAAAATCCTCAAAACTGGATGAACACTTGAAACTTTCTTCTCTTTCTCCTCTTCAACTTTGCCCTAACTTTCTTAAACGTTTTAGAATGGATGAAAACTGACTTAGTCTGATTAGACCCCTTAACTTGGTTTAGTAAAATGTGTAAGCCTGGTGGAGTAAGGAAAATATCAAAATACCCTTTCTAGAAATGGATGAATAAGCCTTAATTAGAGAGGTTGCACTTAAACGGAGATAACTCCTTCATTCGAATTCGAAATTTAGCAAATTTGGCAGTGTTGGATAGAAGACTCAAAGACTTTCGATAAGATACTTTGTTATGCGGAATTTGAGATAATACGAGAAAATATAAACGCGAAAAACAAGACAATAGATTTACGTGGTTCACCAATAAATTGGCTACGTCCACGGGGAAGAGGGGGAGCAGTTTTATTATGGAGAGGCAAGAACAGAATACAGAATAAGGTTTGCCATAGCGTCTATATATAGTTCTAAGCTACGCCTTAACAGGCTTGGGCCCAAACAGGCGAGACCCCCGTTCTTTCTGTTGTAACGGGTCCGATTCAAGGCATTCAACATACTTCATGGGCCATTTAACTTGTGCTGAAAGTTATGATCGCTTGAAGTTGACCCAAAAAAAATCTCATACTTGGATGGAAAGTTTTCAACTCAACTTTATGATAGAGAATTTTTATTGAGCTTAACATCTAAGAAAATTTAGAATTATTCGGCACAAATCTTATTCACCATAAAAGATGACTTGAGTTTAACTTAAAAATTTTCGAAATGTTACAATTTTTCATATTTTTCTATTTATTATTATACAAAAAATAAATATATCAATTATACTCTTCTATATATTGTTATACTTAAATGTCTCAAAAATTATTTGCACTCATTATTATATTCTTTATTTCAAAAAATTAAGTCTTAATATTTACTACTTCAATCTTTCAAGATATTATCTCTCTTTTTTATTGTATTTTTTCTTCTTTCAATTTTTTTAAGCACAATTAAGTAATACAAAAAAATAAAAAATAAAAAATTAATGTGCTTGCTTTCTAATAAAACTTAAACATCCATCAAACACTGAATAACTCATGATTACTTTGTCTTCATTATTTTATTTTTCCCCTTATTTTATTTATTTTAAAATTTTTACCTACATAACTTATATTTATTGAACCTTAACTTTAATTAATATTATAAACTATTTTCTTTAATTTTTTATATTTATAACCTTCAACTATTTAGTTTCAAAATTTAAGATACCTTATGATAGCCCTTCAGTCTCGTCTATATAAATTCATAATTTTTGTTGCATAATATCTCTACCTAAAATTATTATTTTCATATTTAAAATAATGATATTCTATATTATTATCATAATTATACTTTAATTTAACTCCATAAGAGCCGGATAAAAGATCAAAAATATTAATTGTTTTTCACCTTTCTTTTTGTGACTAAGAACTTTACAAAAATGTGTTGTTATTTTTCTCTTTAATTTTTTTAAAAAAATTTAGGTTCTTACAACTTTTTAAATTGTAGTAAATTACATTTTTATTTAGGCTCAAATTAGTTATTTGTAACTTTGTCAGAACATATCTAACCAAGACAACATAAATTTAATTTTACTACTAATGACTCAAACGAAATGCATATTTAATATTGGGGTAAAACTTACTCGCACTGGATCTTTACACCTTGAAACACACAGTTGATTCCTAACAAGGTATGTGAATCTTTCGTAGCGTTGAATTCGTTCACTCACGCGCCAAAAATGTTGTCTCAGTGTGAACTTGTCCTAAAAGAGTTTGAAAGTTTGATGTTCTTGATATGTATTCTGGAAATTGATATTATTATTGAGTTGGGATGAAATTGAGAAGTTTCTAAGATCATTATGTCAACATATTGAGTGGGTTTGAGTTAGGTTCTTAGGTACATTTCTGGGTATCCGTATCGATCTAAAAAGAATTTGGAAAAAAGTATTGAGTTTGGGCGAATTGAGGCTGGAAAACGAAGAAGAAATTTAGTCAGGAGAATCTGGGCACAGGCTCTGTGTCGCAGACCTGGTCTCCAGATTTGGGAAAAATGCCTTCGCATCGCATCACGGTCACGTACCGTTCTTCCTCAAAAAGTATTTGTGACCAAAATTTAAATACATCTCCATGTTGCGGACCTACCTTCAGATTGTGAAATTTTGATCTTTTCTCATGTTTAACTATCTAAAATTTAAAAACACTCCTATCCATCATCAGATCTTTCACATCAGAAATCACAATCCGTGAATCCATAATTCAATTCAAGGAAAGTTAAGAGTCAAGTTTAGAAGTTAAGAAGCAAGTCAAGAGGAGTTCATTTATGTTTTCGAAGTCTTTAACAAATGTCTTAACTTTGTTTTAAGACTTAAATTTTAAGTTAAGCAAAGAGTAAATAGTTGATTTCATTTCTCCAAAAGTTATAAGGGAACTAAGTATTTCCAAGAGTTTGAAATATTTTCACATTTGAACAAGAAAGGAAAATAATGATTTCCAAGATAGCTTTTAAGCTAAGTTTTGAGTAATAATCTCAAGTCAAAGAAAAAATTTGTTTTAACACTATGAGTTAAGTATATTTTGGAGTAGTATTGAGCACCAATTCTCCATAAACCATGTAGCCATCAAGGGTATTAAAGGATCATACTTTTTAGATTACTCCTTAAGATGCTTTTAACATAAACTAGTGAATCCACTTAGTTAAGGCGTTCTATATGACGACAAAGAATAAGACAGTTCTTACAGTGTGGGCAAGACGTTGTATCATCACTTAGCCTCAGAGTGGGGGTTTTCGGTTAGAGAAACTCTCACATAAACTATATTTACTTTATTATATGAGGAAAGTTGGGTTTATTGTTATTGCATTTTATTTAAGTAACTAATTCATTTTTACTGTGTTATAAAGTTTTTCATGTATTGCATGTGTTTTATTTTTTTTACTTTGAGTTAAATATTCATGATTTAAGAAGAGTCAAGGTAAGTGTTTTTTTAGAATCTTTTCAAGCCTATGATATATTTAGCATTTCAACTCGCATACTCGGACATTCAATGTACTAATGCTAGTTGTCATGCATCGTCTTTGATGCAGACACAGGTAACCATGATCAACATCTAGCGCCTTGTTGATCACGTTGAGCACTCAGAGTCAGTTGGTGAGCCTCTTAGCTTTCCGGAGAATCCTTTTTTATTGCTTTTTAGTATTTTAATTTATTAGGATGTTGGGTCTTGTCCCGACATCCATCTCAGATTTTTAGAGACTTCATCGACAGATTTAGTTAATGTTAGGTTCATGACTGGTTACTTTCCATTTTCAATTAAGTTGAGACTTGAGTTGCCACTTTGGCACCGAATGTTATTTATTACATTCCAATTTATTTATTCAGCAGTTCAATTATTCTTTAATGTAAATTAATCTCGAACTTCCGCTGAGTAAGTAAGTGAGGTCAAGGGTTCGCTTGGAGCTAACAATGATTCTTGAGTGCCATTCATGTTCAAGGTGAAGGCTCGGGGCATGACATGAAATTTCAACTGTAAGTTTACTCACACAAATTCAACGAGCCTCAATAAAAAATTTGAATAAATTTCACAAATTCATAAGATCCATATGTTGTTCTTCAAGCTTTCTCAAACTTATCAATGCAGTTTTCAATTTTTTCAATACCCACCATCACCCTTTATGTTAATTCATGTCATACCTCCTCTGAAAATCTAACTTACACAAACAAAATTTCAACTTTTAAAATGAAAAAGACAAAAAATTTAGGAAAATGGGGGCTGAAAAAAGAAATTAATGATGGGGCTTTGATTTGTTGCAAAGAGGAGAATAGGTTGAAGAAGAAAAAGAAAGTGTATGACAAGTGATTTCGAAGAAAAAAAAAGAAAGGGCATGGTT